GGGAAAAGGCAGGGTTTGCAGCAGTGAAGGAGAGAGAATGTGGAGGAATTCAGCCTTTACATCTACTTTGAACATCATTCCCTTTACAGTAAAGGAAAGAGCTGTGTGGATAAATCCCACAACCTCATCCTAAAAGAGATGCTGCTTCCTTTTGTGCCTTGGAAGACTTGGACACCACAGATGGCTCAGTTTAATCTTTTTGGAAGAAAACATTCCCAGCAGACAGTTCATTGCACTAAGAAAGGTCACCACTCTGAAAGAGATTAAAAAAATTCGAGGGCTACAGGTAAAACTAACCAACCTACTGGGCAAGCAAGTTTCTAAAAGAGCACAAAGGCTGGTGTCAGACCAGTGCTAAAGAAAGCTTGGTCTGCTGTTTCAGAAAACCTTTATTTAGCTTCATCTGAGAGGAAGGCATTTGGTGCTCTCATGGATGGTGAAAATGTTCTTCAAGTGTAATTTCCCAAATCAAAAAAATGCAAACAACATTGAGAATCTCTGTTTCTAACCTGTAGGAATCAAATGCCACGGGGAAGTTTTACTTGTTGCTGGTTCTATTCCTGCCTTTTCACCATTTAGCTGCACCCGCAGCTTGCCAAAGTGAGTAAGGTGTTTGCACAGACGATGCTCCCTTATCCAGTGCCCAGCTTTCACCTTGCCCATGCAGACTTGCTGTGCACTTCCATTAGCAGAGTTAGGCAGGTAATAATAGCAAATAAAAAGCCCATTTGATGAAGCACTGGCTCCTTCTCAAGTAAAGCTGAGTACCACTACAGCATGAATGACTCAATCATCTACTCAAGAGCTATTACTTGCAGTGATGAAGCAATGTTAATTGGATAACGGACTGCTGCCAGCTAATATTGGCATGACCTACAATACCCCTGGCTGACAGCCGTGTCTCTCTCCATCACACCTTTTTTTGTAATCTGGATGGGAAGTGGAAACCATTAAAAAACCTCATAAGTGCCATTTAACTTCTTATCATAAATTAAAAACTTAATTAAGTGCCTTGTTAGAGGAAGGAAGACCAGTTTTTTGTGATTAAATAAAACAAAACAACAGTTAGGGGTATGGAGTGAATAACGAACTTTACAGCTTCAAACTCAGTTCTTTGAAAGTACTAATTCTGGGTTGCATTTAGCAGCACCTGCTAGAGGAAAACTGCATTAATTGCTGAAAAACACCCCGGGTAAAAGCAGGCAAGGTTCCAGTTGTTTGGCAAAACTGAAAATGGAGAGAAAAGCATAGAAGTTAAGAGCTAATGGGGCCAGCTCTTTTGTTAGCTGTAGGCAGCTGAAACACTCCATTTCTCTAACTTGCTCTGAGGGCTGATAGTTCACACACCACAGCCACATCTGAGCCCTTGCTATTATGCAGCTGTTCTGGGCAGCTTGTCTACATGCTGAAATATGTTGCCTTAACAAAAGGTGTGGTACAAAATCAAATTACCAAGGCCAGCACAAAAGGGTTTATGGAAACTCTTCAATCAGTGCAGAATTAGCTCCATATTGACTTTGTTTAAGTTGATTAAGGAAAGGTTTGAACTGAGGCCTGTTAAGACATGCTTGAACTAACCTGAAATGTCTAACACAAGGTTTTGCAGTGGTTTAAAACCCTCTAAATTCAACTAGTCCCAATTCTGTGTGTGCACAATGTCTCCCTACTGAAATGACTGGTGTATTGTAAAGTCTGCTCTTGCTTGTAACTGGATATAAACAAGAAATAATGTGAAAAACATCTGTTCCCTGTTTAGCTAGACAACAGTTAACAATGTCTGGATGGCAGATTAACAAAATGACCCCAACATGCTATGAAGTAAAAAAAAGTCTGCAGTTTAGACTTCAGAGGCAGATTTACTGCTTTGAATAATCAGAAGTAAGTTCTTTTCTTTGATGTTAAGCTTCCTCACACCAACAAAACATGAATGTAAAAGCTTTATATATAAAGCTTTATCCAGCTCCAACATCAAACCTTTGACAAATAATAGTAACAACAATGCCCTTTCTCCACAACGCACTTCAGCAGTTTTCAAACTATGCTCAGATTTAAAATACAGTGTTTGTGTGGCTGACTTAAAAATAGCTCTGTAAATTTATGAGCAATTGTTACCTTTGGGTAAGTTTTGAACAGTGAAGACTACATTTAAAAATTTTTTCAGTATCTCTTTTTCTATATTATACACCAACATAAATTGTCTCTAAGCATGAAAAAAGTAGTTGTTCAGGATATTCACATTCAGCTTTTGTTTGAAATTTTTCCACTGGAGGAATAACCCCCTACATGACAGAATAAGTCAGTTTTCACAGATACCTTAAGAAATAATTCACTGCTGCTGGAGTTCTGCAGACCACAGACTGAAAACAGTAGTCTTGGGAAGCATCCTTTGTGAACCAAAGATGACCCTGCTAACTTCTTTAAATGCAGTATTACTAAGATGGTGTTTCCTCTGCCTTATCAGCTTTTAAAAAGCAGGAGTGTTTCAGTTCCTCTTGCAGGGAGCTCAGACGCTGTTGGAGGCACTTCCCGTATCTCTGCACAGGCAGCCACCAAAGCGCCCAGCGCTGTGAAGCTGAGCAACACCAGAAGCAGGGATGTGCATCTTAACCAAGGAGTAACTGAGAAATAGTGAGGTGCATCAGGCAGCTCTCCTTATCCCGAGTGACTGGCTTTTGTGAGGAAATTATTTAGCTGAACACCTCACACACAGCTATTCCAGAAAACTAGAAAACTAAAACACACAGCCACCAAGAAAACTCAGATTCAATGTGTTTAGCAGCAATTAATTTGCACATGGAAAATAAAATATCTGTACAAGTAAACACTGGTAACTGTCACTCTAATAGGCCAAGAGAGTTCTTTTCCAAGATGAGAAAGTCAAAGCCCTGGTGCTCTGCTACTAATAGAAGCACGTAGCACGTAGCAGTGGTGGTCTTGGGTAAGGCATGACAATTTCAAAGTTCTTGGAGTAACCTTAAGAACTAGGTTCACTACTTCTGCAACTCCACGAGCTTCACTGGAGCCGTAAGAGCAGCCACTGTAACCCTAAGTCACAAAAATTGTTTGATCTTTCATTGAGATATGTTCTAAAATACTTCATTCATTCTAATACTTCATTTATTTGAAGAGGATTCACTTAAATAGAAATTATTTATGTTTGAATTGGAGGATTTTTTTCTTAGACAGCATCTCATATAAAACACATAGAAAGACAAACCTTTGTATTTTAAATCTTCAGTGTCATATGAACATAGGACTGGGTGACCAAGTGCAAGCACATCATGACCCCTCCACTGGCCTGCAGCTCAGCACCTCACTGCTGCTGGAATTAGAAATCTTCTAATTTCCAATCTACTTTTACTGAAAGCTGGTTGAAACCAATCAATGCTTAAGCCAACAGTGTCTTTTGGCATTAAAGAGAAATTCCTCCTCTCGGCTGTTTCAGCTCCTCTGCCTAACTAGAGCTGCAGCACATCTCAGTTGTCACACCAGCAGTATGAACCTGCCATGGTCCTTTCTTCTCCTCCTTTAGGCCAGGCTCATTCTTCTGAACACCTCAGTCACTCTTCTACATGCTTATTTGAATGTCAATTACTTTTCTTTATGTAACAGGATCTGAATTATACACAAAGGTTTCACTAAGACTTCATAGAAGAGCACTGCAATTTCACAGCTCTGCACCCTTGGGCATGTTTTGTCACTTCTCTGCTTCTACCCTTGCTTTGTGGCAAGAAAGCCATGCAACTGACTGAGACTTGATTCTTCCACTGGAAATTATTAGTGGACACTGCAGGATCAAAGTGTGCATCCTAGTGGGTCCCCTGCGATATCTCTAAACTCCTATGCAAAATATCTGGGTGAATGTCTTCATGAGTAATACTCAGTGTCAGGACTCATGAAGCCACAGCCAGTGACCTACTTCTAATGCTCTCCAACTTGTGCTGTGACAACATTAAAATGCTGCTGAAGTCTCTGGAGAACTAAACCAGAGGGGGAAAAATGATGTGTGACATTTTGGGACCTGTCATCATTTAAAAACACACCATGCCTCCTCAAGGGCGTTAAGCAAATGATGGTGAAAAACCTTCCGTATGCCAGAGCACCTTCCCACTGAGCGACTGCTGCGCTCGGCCCTGGGTACATTGTCACCCTCCTCATGCCACCCTTCCCAGCTGGAGACACAGTGCCAAGGCAGCAGGTGATGGTGGCCCTGGCCATCAGGCATGCACCTCCCCTCTGTGGGCAGCAAAGCCACCAGCATGCCCTGTGGTAGGTGTGCTGCCACGGCTCTACGGCTGTGAGGAAATTACAATGGGGGTGGAAGCCAGCCAGTGAGATTCTGTGACAAAATAAAGTGAACTTTCCAGTGAGGTATGTGTTTTCTACGTCCCTGGGCTTTCTGCTGTGGGAGCCATGCTGCATGACAAAACCTCTGCCTTCTGATGGTTTCTCAGTGGAAAACACGGTTAAATCCCAAACTCTTTATGAGGGGAGCTGTGAGGAAGCCAGACTGAATGAGGAGCAGGGGTGGGGAAAGAAGTGGAATAAATATATGAGCTGCCAGAGAGGGGTGGACAGCAATGAAACTCCCAACAACATGACAGCTCAAATGATTTTTCAACAATAACCTGCCATGTAGCTGTCACATCACTCCTTTCAAATTTCCTGTCTAGAAGAGCAGAGAAATATAAGGGTCCTAATACTGCCCTGAATGAGGCTATGGTAATGAAATGTTTGGGTACAATTCCTTCAGCAGGAGTGACAAAGGCAAGCTGAAGCATCTTAAAGCTTTGTCTCCATCATAAGGCTGGCATGGTGTGAACATGTCCATCCTTCAGTGATTTGCAACCCACCCAAACACAAAAAGCACATCCTGAGCCGTGCTGGGGCAGCCACTGACACCTGTGCCACCCTCCCTTTGGGCACCCCAGCAGACCACAGAGGTTTTTCTCCCCAGGGAGGAGGAAGAGGTGTGTTGTTTCGGTGAGGACATACTGTACCTCTTCCGGCAGGCTGACCACCAGGTCATTTTCCGTCTGCCCAACCAAGGCCTGCAAGAAGTACTCGCTGCAGGCAGCCAGCACAGCCCGGTGGGCGCGGAACTCCTTCCCCTCCACGATCAGCGTCACGTCACAGAGAATGTCCTGCTTCCGCTGGTCATTTAAGCAGAGGAGAATATTGGTACAGTGCACCGTTGACTCATACACATACATGGGGGAGTCAGTCTTCTCATCCACAGACATGCCGTTCACACCCTGCAGGGACAAGGGAGAAGAAAGCACAAACAAGGTGGTGAGGAGCAGCACGGTCCCTGGCTGAACACGCTATGGGGAGATTCAGCCCAATATCCAGATATCTCAAGACCACAGCGAAGGAGCCCGTTAATGCTTAAATCCAACAAAGTTCCTAGGGAAAGATACCGTGATAGATACTGGTTTGATGCCACTGGATTTCACCCTGTCATGCTTGGATTACCTGCTTGCCCCACCAACTTCCCCCCTCAAAACCAAAATAGGGTTTAGACAGACTGAAAAGTGGTTTTCTTCAACCACCTACTATGCATCTCCAATTTCCAGTTTAGTAATGGCAATAACATGGGGACATTGGAAATTTTAGAAGATATTAGAAAAAAAAAAAGCTAGCGTGACTGCTGGGTTTTCTAATGGTGAAAAAAGGGCTTTGTGCTTGCTTCTGATATTTTCAGATCAAAGAGAAAAACCCCTCAAACTCCCAAGTCTACTCTCCAGTAGACGGGCAGCACTACACAGTCACACTGAAGACCTCAGCTCAAGTAAAAGTCAAGGTGGAACTGTACCTGACAAAGACAAGCGACTAACTACAGCAACTTAATTTCTCAATCAGAATTTTAAGCCTTAAGAGGGACAGAAAGATATTTAGCAGCTCCAGAAGAAATCTGTTTCCATGTATGGCTAAAGCAACATGCCTTCATCAGTGGCTTAATGCCATTTACAGAAGAGTAGATCTTCCCCAATTCCAGACCTGCAGACCCAAAAAATCCCTTCACCTGAACTGATGTGCAGCCCCAGGGAGCCCGTGGGTGCTGAGGCTACTCCTGCCTGCAAGTCTCCCCCTTCTGACTGAGGAGCAGAGGTTGGAATGATGTCAGATACCCATTACACACCCATCACTACTGTCTGAGTCAGGGAAATTCTCTGCCTGATGATCTGCAGTTCCTGACACATGTAGAAGTGGCAAAGCCTCTGAACATGGCCACTGGATTTGCAGTGGTGATGGTGGAGGGAAACAGCTCCCCCCAATACCCCACGCTGCATGAACCCCCTTTGCACTTGAACACACTGAAGTAATGAATTTACCAAAAACATCTTCCCCAGCATTAGACCGAATCCTCTTTGCATTATTTTCCCATTTCAACTTCTCTGAGTAGGAAGGTGTAACAGCCTCTGACTGGACAGACTACATAGCCCAAACCAAACTCGCTTGTTTTCAGGCTTACATGGGGAAAAGGGTTATTTGTACATATTACTCTTTCTGCTGCTGAAGGGAAGGTTGTGCAAATGCACAAACCTGCAGCATTTTAAAGGAATTATTTTTCCTTATTGAGAGCAACAATTGCCTTCTGAGAGGTAAAATTCAGAGGCATCAAGGGCTAAGGGAAAGATGATGATATTTTGGTACAGTACTGCTGCACTGTAAATACCTGACTACTGTATCAAGTAAAAGCAAAATTCCTCCTCTGCTACTTTTTAACGTGGATCATTGCAGCATTTTCCTCTGCTAGTGCAATATACAGGCACATCACTGGATACAACATTACTTCTAACTATTTCTCTTGCTGTGAGTTACCATTTTCCTACAGTGCCATTTCAAAGACACTAATCATCTAGACAAAAATGGACTTAAGAGGATACACTTGTTACTTATATTGACTAAACTTCTCAATGGTAATTTCACTGTCCCTCCTTTACATGAGTATTTTTAAGCCAGTGGCTATGATGACTCTGTACAGAATGGGTATTTTTGCCAACCATGCAAAACTGTAATATTACTGGAAGTCTTAATGGAATGCTTACAGATTCTCTTTTACTGGTATTTTCAATCTTTATGCTGACTCATGCTACACTTTTGAGCACTCAGCCGAAATGCTTACATGGACAGAAAAAACCCCACAATCAAGCAACACAGATTAGCCCTTCAACAACTTAACATGTAGAGAGAAGAGACAAAACTGCTAATTGATCTGCATACAGGCAGGGAGGGAGACACTTCAGGGGGTGAGTTATACCAGCTGGATTTCTTAACCAGAAATTAAAAAAAAAAAAAATTCTCTGTATAAATTGAGACTAATGAGAAGAATTGACAGCAATCATGTTATTAGCACTCCACCAAGGTAAAAGAGAAAATGACACTTAGCTCATCTCACTCACAGCTTTCTGTATAACTAAACTCTGATGCTAACGATAGCACTATAATGATGTTCTAAGTGGTCACTCTTGCGTGCTATGAAATGAAAGAGTTTACAAGAACAATCTAGTGGGAAAACCTGAGAGTTGCAAATGACAATGCAAAGGGGAAAGCAGTAAGCTTTTTTCCCCCTTTATTTTCCAGGCATGTCTTATGCCTGTAATATCTCAGATGATGAAAAAAAGGACAAGAAACCCGACACCTGGCAGATAATGAACAGAACATCAATTATATTTTCAGTGCCTTAGAAAAAACCCACCAAACCCCAGCTAGCCTGAAATTGCAATCCTCTCTTACAGTAATAGTGCAATTTGTGTGAATCAAACCCCGAATTACTTAGTTACTAATTAGTAATTTCTCACTTTTTAACTACAGCTCTCATCAAGTGTATTTTTTTTTAAAAATTGCTGCATGTGCTGTGAAGTGCTGAAAATATCATGGTGTATTTCCCCACTGGTAGGCAAGCCTGTCTTCTCTGCTAGGAAGCCTGAGCAGTGCAGTCCTGAGGTGCTGGGGCTGGAAACTTCACCTGCACTCCCAGGAAGGACCTCCAGCCCACTGCTTATATCATCATGCTTTCCCAAGGCTACTGTTGTGACTCCAGGGGCTTCCTGAAGGTGGATCCATGCCATTCACCTTCCCACAGCCACTGAGAAACCACATGGATGCCCTGTCTGGCAGCCGTGATCTCAGCCTTCCTCAGACTTCCCCCGACCGTGCCCCTGACCGCTCTAGGAAGCACTCTGAGCCCTGCATTGCGCACAGGGAAACCGGGGCTGGGCTATGGCTCAGGACCACCTATTTATCAGCTTTTAATGTTTCAACATGAGTGATTTACAGTTTTTCCTTTTCCACGATCTGCCATTGACCACATGACCTCCAGACGTGAGGTGTTTCCTCTCCAAGAGGGCTTTATCCTGCAGGAAAGGTGCAAGATGGTGAAACCCTTCACTGGGAAGTATATTGTTCATTTTCACAGGGAAAGGGTTTAGAGGGCAAAGAGAAAAGGTCACTGTAGGACTCTGGCATGTAGTAGCATGAAAATTAGAAGAATTCAACTCTTTTTTTCTCTCTCTCCTTGGAATAAAAAGACCCAGGGATCTGGTATTATCTCTGAACTCTGAGGCAAGCTGGGCTGCAAGCCTTTTACACAGTGTTAATTCAAACTGCATCATTTTTTGCTGAATTCAGTATTATGCTGAGTCTGCAGAACCTTATTCATGGAAATCATTGCTACACACTTCGTATTTCTTCAAACTGAAAAGGGAATGTCTTAGCAAGCCTTTCTCTGGCTCAAAAGAACATGCTGTGCATTTGTTTGCATATAGGTCACCATGCTGTCAGAAAAAGCCTTTGTGAAACAAAAGTTTCCACAAACTGGCACAAACTATTGTGGGCAAGGAAAGCACCATTGAAACTGAGCCAAAAAAGTTGCTGGTAAATGCCAGCCACTGCAGTGAAGTGAAATGAAAGTTTGCTTACACGTTCCTTCCATGGTGATGGGTGGAAGATCCCACCAAACCCTTCTGCATGGGCAGCATGGAGGTAGGATACAAAACCTCAGGAGACCAAAAATCTTGCTCATGGAACATCGAAATCAATCTGGTTTGCAGCACATTGTCTGTACTGGCTGGCACTCATCCAAAACTCTCCAGGAACTCATAAACACCTTGACTGAGCTGCTACCAAAAATACATTACCTATCACAAAAAAACAGTTCCTGCCTCACAAGACTGGAGCACAGGCAATGTGGTGTCTGTTTTTAAAGGGAAAGATGAGGGGAGAGAAAATCTTATCAAGACACACCAGAAAGTCCTGCATCAGAACTGGGCTAATTATGTGAAAAGATAAATCTCTACCATGGCAGAGCTACAGAGCACTTAACCAGGCAAATTATCATCGCAACAAAGCAGCATGGCTTCTGCAAGGGGAAGTCATGTCTCTGATGGGCTCTATTAGAATTCCTGAAGTGTGTCAGATTAGCAGTGAGGAACACTGGTACATGTAATTAGTGTTGACTTTCAGAAATTCTTTGACAAAACCTTTAGAAATGGCTGTTAGAGAAACTCAGTTGCCATAAGCTAAGAAGTTGCATCAGACTGGAAATCACTTAGGATAAACTGTATTCAACAGAGGAGGAATGCAGGGACAATTTTCAGCATGTTAGCAGTGAAATTTCTTCAGAAACTGGCTTACATCTGGCTGTGGTCATGCTGTTCAACGTGCCCAAGCTTCTCTGCTCTATGGAGCTACAGCAAGGTTGGACACACCTAATTCTAGGATGGCAGACTGCCTGGATGTACATACAGGTTCCTCTCAGCAGCCTGACACTCCTCCTGCAAGGTCAATGACATGATCGAGCCAGACACTGGGAACAATTTGAAACAACAAAGGTTTAGACTGAACATAAGGAAAAACTGAGGAAAAAGTTGCCTGGAGAGGCTGTGATACATGACCATTGAAATAAAACAAAATAGTACACCATCCTCATAGCAGGATGGTTGTTTAGTTTTTCCTTGAGAGATTTCACAGTCACTGCAATAAGCCATATGTACAACTGACCACTGCTGAATGTTACTGGGCAAAGAATTCACTCCATATGTAAAAGGATTAGTTACTCCTAATAAAAATATCTAGAGCCACATTACTGAGAGTACAAGTTCACATGGGATGAATATTTACATGCTGCAGCATGTATATTCCACTATCCAATATTCTACAGACAATATTCCACTGTCCAACAACAAATGTGCTTGTATTGTCCATCCTTCCTGACCTACTAACCACTGCAAAACCCCAAATCTGCTGCCTC